TATATAACTTGTACCAGCACCACCCCCAGCCCCAGGTTCTCAGGCCTTCAAACTTGGACTGAGTTACGCCACCAGCTTCCCTGGTTCTGTAGCTTGCAGAAGGCACATGGTGGGGCTTTTCAGCTTCCATAATCACAGGAGCCAATTCCCATAATAAAGCTCATCTGTCCATCCCCTAACTATGCTCATGGTTCTGTTTCTCCATTCTAGGCTGTGGTTTGCTGCCACGTTGAACAAGACTTTATGGAAGATTCTGGAATAATAGAAGGGATCTACAACATAGATACCACCAGTGGTTACCTCTGAAGGTGGCTATGCTCAGAACACCTGGGCCTGGGAGGGAAAGGGCTGTCTCAGAGGCAGGCGTGTCTCCTCCATCAGTTAGGGTTATGAGAGGCAGGCGTGTCTCCTCCATTAGGGTTATGAGGAAATGCACTTTTCCATTGCTTTTTGTTCTATCAAGGCCCTTGACCGATTGGATGGTGTCTGCCCCCATGGGGTGAAGGTGATTATTCCTTACTCTGTCTGGTAATTCAATGCCAGTCTCTGAGGATCCCTGATTAATGGAGGAGACATGCCTGTTTCTGATATACTCTTTTCCCTGCCAGGCCCAGGTGCTGTGAGCACAGCCACCTCCAGAGGTAACCACTGGTGGTGCACTAGGTTGTGGATCTTTTCCGTTATACCAGAACCTTCCATAACATCTTGCTAAGCATTGCAGCAAACCAAAGCCTAGAATGGAGAAGTTGAATTTGGGTGCTAGTGGCAGGAGAATGGGAACATTGGTGCTGGGAAGCTGCCAACAGACACTCACTTTCCTCTGGCCAAGGCTGGCACCCCCTCTATAGATGAAAACTTGAGCCAAGAGGCTGAGATAGAGTGAATGGGGAACCTGAGGTCCTTTCTAATATTGGGGATCTGGGATTCTGCGAAGACCAGGGACAGTATGAGACATTCAAGGGCTGATCCCTGAGGGAGGAGGGTGCTGCATGCTACAGTGCTCTCTCTTCCACATTGGTATCTTCATCGCCAACTTGGAGGATGGCACAGAAGGCAGGCTTGGCCTTCTGGCAGATGTCATAAACCAATGAGGAATGAAGGGTATTTCCTGACAGAATCTAGATTCAAAGACAATTTGAAAGAAGGGGAATTATGATCAAAATAAGCCCCAACTTAAAAGAGTCTGGTGGAACCTGAGGGGTGAGAGTTCAGTAGAGGGGGCAGACAGTTGGATTTGCTGGTAGGAGCTCTGTTCAGTGGGACTCTTTCTTTCCACTTATTCCAGCTCAAGTGTGCGTAAGCCAAAAGATCATGGTTTGGCTCACATAACTGGAAAGTATGAATGTGTTAACTTCAGGCATGGCTGGACCTAAGTGCTAAAGCAACATTGTCAGGCCTCTGGTTCTCTCTCATGTGTCCATACTGCTCGTCTCTGCTTGGTTTTGTTCTTGCTGAAGCCTCTTTTCTATAAAAACGTGACTGTCAGTCGCCCAAGACTTATATCCGCCCTCCTCAGCAACCTTAGTAGAAAGAAACTTCTGTCCCCCAATATAGACGTGAAACCCCAGGGAAGACTGGTCCTGCGAGGATTGTCCTCCTACCGTGTCGACCAATCACTGTGGCTAGCGGGTGTTGCATGTCCTGCCATAGTGGCTGGACCCACACCATTGCCCCCTTTCCTGTCTTTGGTGAGGGGGCACCACGA